AGTGTGGAGCCGATGGGTTGTTGGCAGGGCGGGGAGGGTGGGGTTAGTCTTTGTTTTGTTTGTTTTTATCCTTTCTATTTAACACTTTATTTTCCTCCCTATTTTTTTCCTAATTTATTTACCCCTCTTACTGTCTCTCTCTTTTTTTTAATTAAAGAGCAAAACTTTTTATTACTTTGTAATTTAAAAAAACAAAAAAAAACCTGAAGAACTTTGGGGGGGGATTTTGTACTTTTTTCCTGTGTAAATATTGGACTTTTTTGAGCTTTATCGTGGTTGTTAATTTGAAGTAATAAAGTAGAAAATGATAAAGTGACGCCAGCATCTGTCATTTCTTCCTTCCCTGGCATCCTTGCTGGGAGTGACGTCTTACGTGCAGGAAGCGCTGTCTTGCAGCCGAACCTGTTCCCGAGTTCCAGGAACAAGTTTGATCAGAATTACTGGAAAAAAGGCACAGGGCTGGAGCGCCTAAAAATAAACCTGAACTGATCTCTGCAGTCGCAGCCTTGGAACAGCGAGAGCTATGTGAAACCTGATTCAGGATCTCTTGGTTCCTGGATCTGAGCCTCTGGCATCCCGTGCTTCTGGCCTTCAGGAGGAGCGGGATGGGACCTTTCCACGCTGTTGGCTTTGGGTGCGCGCTGAGTATGATGGAGGTGGACGCTGGGTTTTGTATGTTTTTTTGCTTGCTTCTGACCTCAAATGGCAGGGGAAGGAGAGGGGTCAGAGCAGCAGCCCTGAGCACCCGCCAGCAGCGCTGTGCCTGATGCAAACATGCCCTGTGAAGTGACACCTGCTGCTTTGGTGTCTGCGGCGGTGTGGTTTGTTTGGGTTCCTCCTCCTTTGGTTGCCTGACCTGTCTGGCAATAAATGACTCGATTTTAATACTGATTTATTTCTAAACCACTGCTCCTATAGTTACGCTTCCCCGCATTATCCAGGCGAGGGGCCTGTTTCTTGCAGGCTCTGTAAAGCCCTTGGAACTGATTTTCAGAAACACCTGCTGGGAATAAAGGCTGGATCTTGGTGACTTTGCATATTCCTTCCGCGCCTGTTCTCTGCCAGAGGAGCCGCTCCTTCACCTGCCTGCTGTGTGGGGCTTCCAGCTCCTCCGATGAGAGGAGAAGAATAGGAGGGAAGGGACGAGGAGGGTAGCCCGGGGTATGGGGTACTGTCCTCTATCCCCTTTTGGGCCTCCATTTTGAGTGTGTTTTTTGGGGGATTGGAAGGAAAGTGGCCTTTCCCCCTTCTAAGTCTTGCTTGCTGTGAGGAGGAGGAGCGTTGCCTGCGTGGGTGACAGCACCCAGGTCGGCCGGGAGCCTTTGCTCCCCCGAGCACGTGGCCTCGCAGGGGGCGCGGTGGAGGCAGCAGAGCCTTGGCCTGGCTGGGTTCAGGAGAGGCTGCTGCATTGGGGTAGAAGCTCTCTTTTGCGAGGGGACAGAAGCACCCTGCCATTTTGGGAGATGGGGGGTAGCAGGCCCATGGGTGCATCTGTGGCTCAAAAGAAGAAATCCCGGCAAGTGCCTCGGGGGGCTGTGGCTGCCCCTTGCCGCAAGCAGGTTGCTTGTGTATTAAAGGTTTTTAGGGCTTAGTTTTGGCGGGTTTTGGAGGGTTTTTTTAGATTGAAACCCCGTTGTTCTGGCTCGAGCAGAGGTGTGGCGCTGGTTTCCAACACCCGTACGTGCGTTTTCCCTCGGAGTTTCTGGGAAAACAGCCCCGAGGCAGAGGTAGAAATCCGCCTGCGGGGGGGGATATTCCTGCCCTTTCACCGGCCTGAGGCGGGAACGAGTAGCCGGAGCGCTGAAAACCCCGGGTGCCCAGCCCGGGGAAGCACGGC